TGAAGATTTCTGTACCCTTGCATCCTGTGGTGGGATGAACTCAAAGGTAAAGGCCTCAGTTGCCCATCCTGTCACTGTCTCCATTGCCTTACTCACACATGCCAGTGTCATTGAAAAAGCTCAGAGCTTCCATCTTGCTCTTACTATCTTACACAATGCTCTGCCACTGGCCATCTGTCTCCTCCCAAAGTCCAATTTCATACCTAGTGGTACTCCACAGTCTCTGGAGCAATGGCTGCCCCATTCTGCTAATGCAGTAGTCCCTGGGAGAGAAAGGCAGAGGCTCAGACACTTGAATACATATACATTCAGTGCTTTCCAACTTGACCTCAAATACTTCCTTTGAATACTTCCTCTGAATACTTCTTCTTTTGTTTAACAATCTGAACAACTGTGAACACGGGCATTTATTGCCTGGGATCTGATCAGATAGATTTTCTTTTGTCTTTGTGGGGCAGAGGGTGTGGACAATACCCAGTGATGCTCAGAGTTTATTCCTAGCTCCGAGCTCTGGGATCACTCCTGGTGGTGCTGGAGTGATCCCTGAGTGCAGTGACAAGGATTGAACCAGAATTGACAGGATGAAGGACAAGTGCCTCCCCTCATCTCTGGCCTCTAAGATTTATTTTCTTCTGGAGGAGGGCAGAAGGAAATGTGTACTCCTTTCCAGAAGACAGAGCTTCTGGCTTCAGGTCAGCAGCCACCAAAATAAGGGTCCTACGGTTTGACAGTCATCTGGGATCTGTCCACAGAGTTTGGGTCTGGGAAAAAGGTAGCAGGAAGAGTTTCCGAATTGTGATTCTAATACTGATATTTCCTGACCATTCTTTGAGAAAATTCCCCTGAGTGATGAAGGTGGGTTTTTGCTTACATTTTAGAAGGCACCTGGCTAGTTCTGAAGCCTGCTTATGCTAGGCACGGTACAGCCAGAGAACTAATGTAAATCAATAATAATGACAAGGTGTAAGAAAATGGGCAACAGAGCTAGACACTGTTTCAACAAACGGAGATCTAAAAAAGTAACCGATAAAAGTGCAATCAAATCATTAAACAGCCATGGAAATAAAAGAAAAGCAACCACAAAGTAACTGAAAAAAAGCTGCACTGGAATAGTTAACTATAAAGTTTCACACCAACCACTGTTGGCAAATATATAAGAAGCAGCTGGAACTCTCTATATAATGCTGGAGGCCGTATAAAATTATACAACCACTTTGGAAAAAAAAGGTATGACGATTCATTATAAAGTTAAATGAGTTAAACTCAAGACTTTATGAGTTAAATGATTTAACCCGGAGTTCAACTCTCTGATCCTGCATTTCTAACACACACACACACACACACACACACACACACACACACACACACACACACAGCCCTTGTATAAAAACATCTCTATCCACAAAGCACCAAACTAGAAACAACCCAGAGGAATGGATAAACAAATATGGCAGCTTTTTTACAATATTTGATGCAACTGGACAAGCGCTTAGAATCTCGCAATTCTACTGCCAAGAATGTCCCCTTCCCAAGTCACATGTGAACAAATACACTTAAAACAACATTGTAATAGTTACAAATGAACTTACTCACTGCCCTCAAGCTGGAGAATGGATATAAATTCCATCCTGACTATACAAACTAGCAACAAAGAGAAGTCAAAAGGAAGGTAGTTATCCTCACCCGTTATTTCTGAAATAACTACTCAGAAATAGAATATTGAGTAGGAAAATGGCAGGAAAATACATATTGCCTAGGAGCTCTTGTATGTAATCTGAAAGTATAAAACTCAATAAACGCCCCCTGCATGTATGCATTAATTAGAAGGGTACAAAACCCTGAATTCAGAATAAGCTTCATATTCAAAACAGTGGCTACCTCAAGGGAGGAAAAGAGGTGCGCAGGGACCTCATCTCTGTAATATCTTGATTTCAAAATCTGAGGCAAATGTGGAAAGATGTTAATGTGCTCTGCTCTGGGGTAGGTACAGGGTATTTATTTGAGATGCTATTCTACATGCATTTCTGCATGTTGAAATATCTCAAGATAAACAAAGAGAAGAACTCAACTCCCTCAGGGTTCGGGCTTGGAGGGATGGGGTAAGGGATTAATAGTTCCACTGTCCCCTAAAGAGAAAACGCAAGTGATCCCAATGCCAAAGAAATACAGGAGTCATTTGTCTTCCAGAGAGTGAGAGCCGCGAGGACACTTGAGCTCATTTGTTTAGCCTATCCTCTTTCCACAGAGGATTCAAGGGAGCTTGCAGCAAAAGACACATAAAATGAGCCAGAAAAACACAAACATACGTAGAAAATCAGGATCAAAGATAACAAATATTCCATCAATTGCTGGTTAACCACAGTTGCTAAGATCAGGTTTCAAACTTGGCTCTGTTCGTCTTGGCAACGGAAACCATTTCAGCTCCAGCTGACCCGTAAAAGCAGGTTACAAAAACTAACCTTTGTTCTTTAAGTTTTAAACTTCACATTTGCCTCTTTACAGCGGCTCCTCTGTATTCTCCCTGCAAACTCGCCTTGCTCTCCAGCCAAGCACTTGTGCGCTTTCCTTTCTCTTTCCCTCCTTCCCTCTCCTCCTTCCTGCCTTCCTGTTCTTCTTTCCTTTTACCTCTTTCCTTTCCTTTTTCTTGAATTCTTTCACTTCACTGAGTCACCAGGTCCTAAAGAAAACGAGCGGTGGTTGCAAATGCAGCTGTAACCAATGACTTGACTAACAAGTGTTTGTAGGTGTACATGAAGCCACCCAGCTGTCAGGAGTGCAAGGCACCACCCAAGGGCTTTGGGGTGCTGGATGCTGCCTGGACCGCCAGCAGCAGTGAGAAGTGCATGACCTGAGCAGTTCTGAGGAATTACCTAGCTTTGGGGTGCAGGTGATCCCAAGATCAACTTTGGGGCCCCATATGATAATGACCAAAACACAACCTGCTGACAGACCCCCATTCCATGAAGGCTGGCTGCCACAAGCTGCCCCAGCAGCTGCCCCCTCATCTCACCATGCTGGCCCCGTGCCTAGCGGCACCAGCAGGCTCAAGAGTCCCTGGCACTGTTCTGGGCTCACCCCTCGCTATTGTGAAGCATTAACAAGGTCACCAGGCACCTCTCCATGCAGAAGCTCCAACACTTGGTTTTCTGATCCACTCAGTCTGTCAGGTCTCTTCTCCACTCCAGGACTCCACAGCCATGGTCAAGTCTACTTCCTGCATCACAACCTCAGGAAATGTTTCCTTGAATTTATAAAAGCCAAAATAACCACCTTGAAACCCCTCTGCACCTGTTTTCTAAGATTCAAGAGTAAATAATTATCACTCCTATAATGTCATGGTGTCAGATGAAATGATCTCGTATGGAGAGAGTATAGACTAGTACAAGACAGTGCTCAGCATGGATGATGATGGCCGGTGGGTGGCGGAAATGAGAATCCCAATGGGTCTCGTGTCCTGGCTCAGAATGGGTCAGCAGCAGCAGCCTGCTGCAGCCTCCCAGGTTAGCCCTTAGTGGAGAGAAGCTCTGGGTCTCTGAGCGTGGGGAGCGAATGCCAGGAGCCGCCTCAGACAGCAGCACAGCTGGCGGGGCCTCAGCCCCTCTGCACATGCAACAACTGCCCCGCATCCAAAATAACTTCACCTGCTGCTGCTGAGACGTGTCGGGTGATGTCTCCTCAGCTGGATACTGGCTGGAGGCCACCACAATCCTCCATTTCAGATTGAGATTCCTTCTGGAAAATAAAGCAATCCTTGGAAAACACTAGCCTGGCTGTGGGGTGTTTTCTCTTTCCCTGAGATTCCTAGAAATCCCCAAGGAGAGATACCACTTGGTCAGGGATCACCCCTAACATCCTGGAACCCTCACTTGCTCCTCAACTCAGTAAACTCAGGTCCTGGGTCCTACTACTGCTGGGCAGTAGTAACCTCACCCAGAAATTCCAGCAAGCAAAACTGATTTGAAAGAAGCATAAAAGAATAGAAAATAGAGGGAAGAATAAGCCCCCCCCCCCCGAAGTGTGGAACCAGGAGGCTAGTAGAAATCAATTGGTTTGGGGTTGTGCAGAACAGACAAGTAGGAGAGCAGGTTCAAAGGGATGGGAGTCCCACGGGTGAAGCTGCAGTGTATGCAGACTTGGTTTCAGGAACAATATGGCTCCCCTAGGACACTGAGCCAGAAGATGAAGTGGCTTGCTGAAATGCCTGGGTGGGCTTGCTGCCAGCCTGATGAGGGCTTGTGTGCAGATCTTTAAATTCTGGAAACAAGTGGGCACAGAATGTCTGCGCACCTAGAGCTCAGGTACTTTTACTGTCGGGGTGGGGGGGGGAGAGGAACCAGGCAGATAGTTTGCTCCACAGGTTGCTCACTGGCCAGGCCTCCAGAGAGCAACAACTCCTTCTACTCCCCCCAAAGTCACTCTTGCCCTTTTTAGAAGCCCACAGAATAAAGTATTCTTACTTCCCTCCTCCACATCCCCATCAAAATGGGATCTCCTTTCTATAGCACATAAGATATATATATAATATATATTTATATATAATATATATAAAATATATATAATATATATATTTTATATATATAATATATATATATAAAATCAGAAAGAGATCACCCATTACCCACCAAGTGAGAGATGGCCTGTGTTTTATTTGAAAGGGAATAAAAAATTTTAAGAAACATTAATAGCTCTTCTGGTCCCGGGGCCCCAAATTTGTGGTTGCATCTAGAAAAACAAAAGATCCATTCATTAAGGTGTTTTCTGTGTACCAAGAGCATTACAACAAGTGCTTTAAATGTACGTGCATTTGCTCTTCACAACACTCTCACGAGGTGGGAACTATGATGGTGGAAACTGAGGACTTGGGGGCATGGGGGTATAGGTTAACACGCTGCTTTAGGTGAGGAGACACAGTAGATACTCTGAGAGTGTTATCTAAGAAGACTGGAGCCTCGCCCTATACAAGTGAACAGTACAAGAAATACGATTATTCGGACCCAATTTGGGAAGAAAAAGTTTTTCCAAACTGATTTTTTTAAATAAGTTTATTCTTCGCCATAGAAAAGAACACATCCTTGGGGGCTTTTAAATCATGGCATAAGATTAAAAAGGCAAATAACCAGAAATTGTCAGCTGAAAGTAGGTACAATTAATTCATGCCCAAGGATGAGAAAACATGATGTACTTTGGGCTGTAGCAGGGGTAACCAATCAAAGCCAGAGTCAGGATGCAGAGCCAAGTCAGGGCTCAAGCTAGCTGGAAACACTGATGAGCTGCCAAGCTGTTTGGTGACCAGAGTTCATCTTCCCTTTTTTCTCGCTTTCTCTCCTTCCCAATCTTTACAGCAGGTAGTCATGCTCTGATGTTAGCCTTTCTAGTTTGCAGGATAGTGCTATTGTTGTCTTAACAAGTTAAACCTATTTCAACCTTCAAAATCATAAAAGAGCTGAAATCAATGGTAACTAAAAGCCATTTCTATTTTTGTTCAGCTATCTGCTGCAGGCAAAGCTTCATATAGGAATTTTTATTGCGGATTTCTATGACTGCATCCCTCACAAACTCGATGAACATTTGTGGCCACAATTTCTGCAAAGCCTCATTTTTCATGTTGATTTCTGTGGCTTCCTTCACAAGGTCCTCGATATAATTCTTGCAGAATTTCTTCTTTTCCTTTATTTCCTGTTAAAATTTTAAAAAGAATTATGTTAAATCAAACCATGTCCAGAGCCAAAATAACAATGAGTTGAACCAGAGAAACTTAAATAATCTCTTCTGAGCCTCACCCTTGAGTTGGCATACCTTCCTGGACACTGTTGACACAGCTCTGCTAGACTAAAGATAGCAATAGGAAGTGTGTTGCTTGCTGCCTCCTCTCTCTGCTGGCGGCTTTATTAGAAAACGAGCTTCCTTATTGGAATCACTGGGTTACAACTACTTCTCCCTTGGTACATTTTTTCCTTTTCAGTTCAGGAAGTTTGGCTCACACAAATCAACTAAATGCACAAATTCAATATCTTATGGTAAATATATCAGGGCTGATGTTATCTTAACTGGCACGAAACCAGTTAATATCCACATATACACTTTAAGTATTCATACTCAACGCACTTGGTGTTTTAGGAAAGCATATAATGATGCCTTACACAGACTTGCATGGCCTGTACAACAGGGAGAATGTTGGGCAAAGTGTAGAATGAGGAAGAGGAAATATATAGATGCCAAGCCCAGTGTCTGGCCTTGGAAAGAAACAAAACTCCCACTCAACTTCACTCAATTTTGAGGTCTGCAAGTGAAAAACCTAGATTCGAAACATCATAGGGGAAATTTTGGGCTTGAGACTACACAGCCAGTGGGCCCCTTCTCGTCAAAGAGGGTGAAACAAAGCTGCTTTACTTAATGCAGTACAAAGTAAACCAACATACACTCTGCTGAATTTGATCCATTCAGCAAACACCAAGGCTGGAGGGTGAAATGTCATAATATATATGAGAAAATTAATAAAGTTTATTAGATAATCAGAGTTATAGTAATTATTAGTGAAGAAGGAGATGAATAATAAGTGTTTAGGAGACAATATATTCAACCACTTGAAATAAGTATCTCGTTATCATTGCTTTGCATTTCCATGATAACCAGTAATGCTAATTTTTCTTATACCCCGTGGCCATCTGAATGTCTTCTGTAGAAAGGTGTCCAAAACATCTCAATTTTGATGGGGCTGCTTATTTTTGATGTTGCTGAGTTGTGTAAGTTCTTCGTATACCTTGGATATTAGTTCTCTGTCATATGCATGGTGTACAAATATTTCCTTCCACTCCATAGGATGTCTTTCTGTTTTAATGCTATTTTCTTTTGGTGTTTAGGAGTTTTTAGTTTGATGTAATCCCATTTGCTAATTTTTGCTTTGGTTTTCCTTGCCAGAGGATGGAATAACTCAAGACACCACTAAGGCCAATATTTTGAAGTGTTTAGCCTACATTTATTTGAATTTATTTTATGTATTTGGGTCTCACATCTAAATCTTCAATCAATTTTGAGTCAACTTTTGTGCAGGGCATGGGATGATAGTGATCTAATTGTATCTTTTAGCATGATTGCTAATCACTTTTCCCAACACCACTTTTTATCCCCTTTCCTTTCCTGTTGTTTGTTGCTGTGGTGACTGGGGTCTGCACACTTTAGCTGGGAAGCCTGCAGATGCATTTGCTGGGCATCATACCATTTTAATACAATACTCGTTGCTGAAAGAGTATTTCTTTCTTCCATTTCATGCTCTTGGTTCCCTTTTCATTAATTTATTGTTCAAAGACATAAGCCAGAGCCAGGTTTATCTCTGAGTTCTTGCTTCTCTGATTGGACAGGGTGTCTACTTTTATTCTAAACAATGTACTTATTCTAAGTGATATATTTTGTTAAATTCATAGAAACTAAAATAAACTTTTCATGATTGACATAATGCAATTGTTGGTGGTTTAAAATTTCCTGCTCTATTTTTTCCCCATTACTTCTATGTAAACATGTTGATGCAGAATTATATCTCTTATAGTAACCCTTAATTTAGGAACTGTGTTTGAAAGCTTTTTAACTTCATCATTTCTTCTCCCTGCCAAGTCAATAATGCTGTCTCCCTGTGCAGAATACCTCGACCACGATGACTCTCTCTGTCTGTCTGGAATGATCCTATTAAGAGCACATTAGAGTTCTTTCTCTTGCCCTGGCCCGCCAAGTAGTTGTTGCTCCTTGAATGATGCTTTTTATGCTCTCAAATATTTTCAGACACTTGTTTCTTTTCATCCCACAAAAATCCCTGTGGGGTGCTCAAGGCAAGTACTTTACAAGTTGAATCCTGATGAGATGAAATCTATATAGCATTGTTTATATTATTCCACTGAATTAACATTGTTGTCAAGAAGATGGTATGGTAAAATAAAGTAGGTCAAAGGTAGTGTTTGTTGTAGAGTGATTTTTCACTGTAATGGTAATTGTATTGGTATTTAGTATGGTCCTCAATCTTATATAATGGAAAACCAATGTCTAGGGAGGTGAGAGACATGTCAGGATTAAACAATCTTTTAATAATACCTAGAGAGAGTGATCTAGATCTTAAAGAACGTGTAGTCTATTTGTAGACAACAGCCTACATATCAAAATATCAAATGGCATATAAGTACTGACGGAGATGTTTAGACAGTAAACAAAATCAGAGTTCACAGAAGACAGACCTGTGTGCTGGGGTGGTTCAGAAGCCCTGGAGGGCAGCAAGCTGTGCTGGAAAGTACAATACACAGGTATGAGCTCTCCCATCTAGAAGCAGTAACTCAGCCTAACTCACCCTGGGACCCTGAGTAGTTCATCCGAGTTTTCTGTTTTCCTCATCTATCCCAAATCAGGACTGACTTATTGTTATTAACTTATTCTCCCTCTTCAGGTGGGGTCACTTTTCTGGGATACTCGCCCAACTGATGGATGCTGGGGCCCTGCAGTGCCGGGGATGCTCTGGAAGACATGTGGGGTTGGAAATTCATGGTCAAGAGCATGCAACGCATGCGCCTTAACCCTGTACTGTCCCCCCACACCCAGAACTGGCTTCTCTGAGGTCATCTTTAGCTCTCATTCAATGTCCATCTTCAATCTCTTTTTAGAATAAGTCAGAACAAAGGCTGGGCAACTACTGTGGGGAACTCTATCCAGTGAATCTTCTCAGTGATTCAGAACAGAGAGTGATCTCTCTGTGTTGTGATGCTTTAAATATTTTCCAGGCAGTGAGGTGCAATGCTTAAGGGGACAAATGCTGGGTTGTGCGTCCTGAGTTTAAGGGTCAGCCCAGGGTGTTTCAGGTAACAAGTAGTAAAAGCCAGAGACTCAAATCCAAGTCTAATGGCCAAGCGTCCTTTCCGAAAAATTATGTGGCTTCAGAGGCTCTCTTTTCTCTTTTGAAATTTCTCAAGACTGGTATTAGCATAGCTTGTGCTCATCCACAGGTCAAACCAACAACCAAGACTCTGCTTAGATGAAATCTCTGAAACTATTCCCGTTTTTAATGTCACACAGACAGTAGTCACAAGTTAGTTGTGTGACAGGTTTAGGCTTCCATCCTCCCACATAGTGACATATGCACTTTGAAGACTTTCTGATTATGAGTACATAAAACCCTTCGGAAGGTTCTGAGTAGGAAGTGATTATGTTCACTGAATAGTGTGGAAACAGCAGCAGAGTTTTCAGGGAGTGAAAGGTTGGTATGAGACTGACACAAATTAAAAGAAAAGCTAAGAAACACAAGCCTTTTGAGACAGGCACCTGTTTCAGTGCTAAAAGAAGTGGGTTTCCACAAACTGATGGATGGGCTCATCCTTTACATCAACAAAATGTGCATCAATGGCTACAGTGCATCATAAGAGATGTTGCAAATGAAGGCGCAGGAGGTTCATACAAACACAACAATCTTAGAAACTCAGTTTAAGGAGGGTTGTGGTGGGCTGATGAGGCTCAAGCAGTGACACAAACTGTCCCTGTGAAGGAGAAACACAATGCACCAAAAGCTGACAGCTGGTTACAGTGGAAAGACTATTAGCTTTTGCCAATTTGTCATGATATGTGCCAGGAAACTTCATACTTGCTTACTAAAATTGGTAATGGACATGGATAGACTCCAGTGTGGCTTTTCTTTTGATATGCCTTAAAACAGCATTACTAAGTTGAAAAGATCATGAAGTGTATCTATGAAAACCAGTGATAATGAGGAAAGTGATGTACAGTAATGGCTGCTGTTAGACAGTTAGCCTTTTTGCAAAGTAAATAAATAAAAAGGCATAAAATCTGCAATGAATATGCACTGAAATATAGTAGCTGCATTTTCTTTTTTAAGAGTCAGACAATGAAACTTCTCCAGAAATACTCCTTGACCAGGATAAGTTATCTCTTCTTGAATCTCTCCATATGCTGATTTAGAATTGTGTCTGCATGTGTCTGGTCCTCCATCAAAAGGCAAGCTTCATGAATACAAGGGCTGTGACTCCCATCACCCACATATTGTGCCTGAGAGGTGCTCAGTACCTGATCTCTGAAAGTGACATAACATCTGAATGAGTGCCATGAACACTGGGTGTCATTTGTACAGAATGTCAAGTGTAGAGAATATTCAAGGTAATACTTTCAAGTTTTTAAAAAGTCTGTAAGAAAGTGAACAACTTGCTTTCCTTTCTCCATAGGCAATGTTTACTTGGATCACAAAACTCAAAGGTATCAGAAGGCACAATTTAGTTTGCAAGGTAAATTGGAGTTGATTAGTCGGAGATATATTGCTATCTCACAAAGAAGTGACAGTCCTTGTACTACAAAACTTAAGGTAGAATCAAGGATGGAGAGTTACCACAGAAGTTCAGGCACCTGGGCTTGATCCCCAGCACCCCATTAGGATCCTCCCAAGGAGCACTCCCTGAGAAGTGCTGGGGTGGCATAAGAACAAAACAAAATTTAAAGCAAAATCGACTGCTTTTCAGATGCCATAAAAATATGATTGCACAGAGTTTTCAAGAGAGTTTCAAGTTGTATGCCTTAGGGTCCTCTGAATTCTGATAAAATGCTCAGAGGTGAGGGTCACTGCATGATCTCCTCAGCACCATGGGGAGAGTTCTGGAGGCTCCAAGAGCTCTGGGGAGACCACAAATAAGAAATGGAGGCTCTGTCCGTCTGATGGCTAGATCAGTGCTCACTGAGCTGCCTCTATTCCTTCTCTTAATTTAGAGATGGCAAGACCCTTGGCCCTAGATTCCTGATCTAGATATTTTTGATAAAGATTTTTTTTGGAATATTTTTTCCTGCTTAAATAATGATATTGGAAGATCTATTTCAGGAAAGGGGGAAATGACTGACTTTTACTTCTCTAAAAAGTGGGTGGTAAGAAAAGTAAGTTTGGGAAATGAGCTTTTTTCCCTTCTTTTTTGCTGGGGAGGGGTGCGGGGAGAGGGGGAGATGCTGCCCTGTGGTGCTCAGGACTTACATCTAGCTCTGTGCTCAGGGATCACTCCTGGGATGCTTGTGGCAACCATATGGGGTGCTGGGAATCGAACCAAGGTCAGCTACAAGCAAGGCAAATGTCCTACTTGCTGTGCTCTCTCTCTGACCCCAGGGAAACTATCTCAACCACTGAAGAGAGAATGGTACAACTGTCAGTTACAGTGATGTGGGAATATCCAGCCATTGACTTCCAAGGATCAATGTCAGTTTCGTTTTACCTCTAGTTTTTCATTATAGAATTCTCTTGTGGTATAATTTAGTGTGGACCGATTCGAATTTTCTCCTACAAGTCTTTTGCTATCATTAGTCTCTTCATTGATAATAACAGGCTTTTTTCCTTTGGTTTCTATCAGATATCGAAATTGTTTCTTCCTGTGAAAAGATAGTAAAGAGAGTGAGTTACTTTTCAGGTATACTCAGATATGTCAATGTGTACACATGCTTTTTGTTGTTGTTTTGGGCCACAGCATTGGTGCTCAAGGGTTACTACTGTCTCTGCATTCAGGAATTACTCTTGGGAGGCTCAGGGGCCCATATGGGATGCTGGGATTGAACCCAGGTCAACTGTGCACAAGGAAAAAACCTGCTGTACCACTGTTCCGGCCCCTATACATGCTCTTTTAAGTATTTTTATGAGGGTGAATTTATTTGAGCTCAGTTCCATACCCTATCTTTTTACTAATTAAGCTACTTAACTCAAATTCTTTTTTAAAAAAATGTCAACAAATCTTTAGTCTTTTATTACAGAACTGGGATTACCAAGAATGTGGGGGAGAATTCTTTCATTTCATAACTACCAATCATCAACATATCTCAAACATTTCTAAAGTATAAAAACCTAAGGAAAAATTCTTATGTGTATATAATTTGAGGATCACAGAGCATAAAACAATCCAAGTGCAGTAGATAATTCTGAGTCTTTATGTTCAGTAAGAAATACTATTGCTTATAAATACACAAATAGCTCATAATTCCATTTGTAGAACATAAGCATTACTCATTGCAAGAAAATGAAATACTAATTGTGTTTAGGCAAAAACTAAAACAAACAAAACCCAATTGTTAGCAAACTCTAAGAAGCAAATAGTGAAATAGGAAGCTTGACTTAATTATGAAGAGTAAATAAACAATGCTCATTGTATTATTAAAGACCTAAATGTCCACAAGTCCAGAGGGCAGCAACTCATCCTCTTTGATGAGTTCTACTGGAAAAAGTTAGGGTGATATTGCTTTACTGTAAATTGAAAATTGGGAGAAGAGGAATAATCACCAAACAAGTTTATATTTTTTTCAATTTAAAAGTATAATATAATCATTTTAGAAATTGGGAGCACAGACTTTGAAAAATGTATAGAGAAGACATAGAAACAGCTTTGGAAAATCTAGAGAGGATATAGAAGAAGCCCATCTCCCCATTTCAACCTCATCAAGCCACCAAGCCACCAATTGTATAGCACTACACCTCCAAATTTCACAGTGCTGAAAGCTCAGTTGGAGAACTGCAATTTGACGGGAAAACTGTATAAAATCCCACCACACTCCGTGAGAGAGAACAATAACACAGAAGGCTCAACTAGTACCAAGCAGCTGAATAAATCCTCAGATAATGACTTCAGTAACACCACTGTGAGATATAACAATAATCACAAATTCTCTGATTTATCTTTTTTTTATAATTCCATTTTTCACTTTCTTGTAAAAAGCATTATGAATGAAATTTATTTGTATCTGCTCGGGGGCAGGATTTGGGGGTAGGTGAGAAATTTGGGACCTTGGTTGGGGGAATTTATGTTAGAACAATGAATGCCAAAAACAACGATATTATGAACAACCTTGTAAACCATGCTGTTTAACTTAAAATTAAACGAGAAAAAGAGACAGAAAAAGGAAAAATATAGAGAGATAAAAATTAAATAAATCAATAGCTCATCCATCTGTACCATGGTTATATTCAACATAATCCATTCCAGGCTTCTCCTATGAATTTTCGGTTGCACCTTGGCTATGATACTGATGCTTCTCAAAGCTAAATACATTTTTTTAAAAAATGTTAAGGTCATAATGAAGACATAATTCTTAATGTTTTTCACTTGGTGAAATCACTGTATCACTGTCATCCTGTTGTTCATCGATTTCCTTGAACAGGCACCAAGTAACATCTCCATTCGTCCTAGTCCTGAGATTTTAGCAAGTGCCACATTGGAGGCTCTTTCAGGGTCAGGGGAATGAGACCCATCATTGTTACTGGGTTTTGGCATATCGAAAACGCCACGGGGAGCTTGCCAGACTCTGCCGTGTGGGCAGGATACTCTCGGTAGCCTGCTGGGTTCTCCAAGAGCGGGAACTAGACAATAAGAGGCTTCCAGGAACTTGGTTTTATAGTCTCTGGGTCTTTGCTGTTGATGGAATTACATGGCACAGGGGGGGAAGGGGAGAGGGCGGGGGGTGGGTGGTGGGTGTGACTATCTAGCTACTGGAAGATGGGGGATCTGGATGGAGGAGGCCCGGTCCTGATCCGAGCAGGCTTGGAGATCTCAGCCCCAGGTCCTGTGGACCTGGGTTCCTCTGCCGGTTACTCTTGGTGAAATATAATATGCATTTTTCATGTCATTAAAATTTTAATAAATGAAATTCAATTATTATATAGCTTACTTTGCAACTATGTCACAAAACTATAAACTATATCAGTTATGATCTCATTTACTTTCAGTTTACTTCATCATTATTTTTAATTTAAAAAAGTTTGGGGCCAATCTTTCAAAATTGAGCATTTTATTTCTCACTTATTCTTATTTCTGTTTTTAAGCCACACTCAGTGGTACTTGGGGCTGACTCCTGGCTCTGTGGTCAGGGATCACACCTAGTGGCAATCAAGGAACCATTTGGGGTGCTGAGGGTTGAACTCAGGTTGTCTGTACCTGACCCCTGGTTCTATCTCTCCAGTCCCACAAAGTAGTTTTTATTGAAAGAAATTTACTTAGAGAAGTGAGACACATATTCAAGAGAGAAGACAGGCTTTTCCAGAGCAGAAAGAACCCTTTAATTTCTCACTTTTATAAAGAGCAACATATAGGTCCTTATGTGTAATTCCTGATTGATATATTTTTGGGGGGGTCACATCCGGCGATGCACAGGAGTTACTCTTGGTTCATGCACTCAGGAATTACTCCTGGTGGTGCTTGGGGGACCATATGGGATGCTGGGAATCGAACCTGCGTCGGCTGCGTGCAAGGCAAATGCCCTACCTGCTGTGCTATTGCTCCAGCCCCTGATTGATATTTAATTATAAATAAGTAATGTATGCTTTATGCCACAAGTTTTGAAATAAGGCATTTGTTATGATTCAGTTCAAAGTGGTTTTATATTTCCATTATGAAATTACCTTAATCTATGAATTATTTAGAAATGTAAATTTCCAAATATATGGAGACTTCCTTGTTAACATTTTGTAATTCAGTTCAAGCTTAACTGCATTCTGAGCAGAGAACATGGTTCCTCTAAATCTTTTGGAATCTGTGACATTACTGTATGAATATTTATGAAGACTTGGTCAATTTTTATAACTACTTTATTCTTGAAAAGAATGTGCAGCATGCAGTTGATCGAAACAACCTTCCCCAAATGTTTAGCAAGTCAAATTTATAAATAATGTTGTTTAAGTATTTTATATATATATTTCTAATTATTCAGAGTTATATTATACACCTCTCTGAAACTATGGTTCTTAATACTTTTAATTTGGAGTTTGTAAGTAATCTACACATCAACTGTCTACAAATTAACAAAGTTGTCATTCATTTCTATGTGATTTATGACTTCAGTTTTCATTGCTTTTACACCCCCAAACAACTAAAATATCTTAAAACCATTTAAAAATATTAATTTAAAAAAGAACAATGTAGAATAAAAACTTAAATGGTTACTTAAGCAGTGAAAAGTAAGCTATTCTGGACTCCCTCCCAAATGTCCTCAGTTAAACTCAAGGAGACAATCATTTTGAAAACTCGAACACAGGTTGGAGAGAGAGTACAGCAGATGAGGCACTTGCAGATTCAAAATTCAGATTCAATACCCAGCACCATTATATTTGGGTGTACCCAAATCTAATGTTTTATAATTATACGAGCATACCTCTAAAATATATACCCCATTTCTTAAGCATACTACACAATTAGTCGATGCTTGCATTTTTATTTTCCTTTGAGGGGAGCTGAATCCCAGCCAGTGATGTCCAAGGTACCCTTGTGGCTCATCACTCATGGATCCCTTCTGCTGATGCTCCAGGTACCAGGTGTGGTACTGAGATTCAAGCCCTGGGCAGCAAGACAAGGCAAGCCCCTGAATCCCTGTACTATTGCTCTGCTTTAACCTCCATATTTTCTCTGCAGTCTCTGCATTTCTATTTTCAAAAATATCTTAGACAATTACTGTTACCATTTTATTTTTTGATTTGGGGGCTTCACCCAACTGTGCTCAGGAGCAACCCCTGCAGATGCACTATCATATACAGAGTCCAGGGCCTCATCATTTCTCAAGGTGTAAGGAATAGGTCTTCTATCAGAGGAGTCAACTTACAATTTTTTGCTACTAAGAACTCCCACTGTAAGAAAAATCCTTTGACTCCCATACTTGTATTTCTGTAACAAAGTATCACTAGAATTTTCTGGGCATGAAGGATGGCATCAGCTCATCAGCTCTCACTGCTCCCGCCCTAGGGTACAAATCCTGTTATTGCTGAAGTCGAGCTATCGATCTTTCTCTACAAGGGTCTCTCACTATCTAAAAAATGTGGTGCCTAGAAATGACCGAGGACAGACATCATTTTAAAAATATACAAGTGACCCACGCTCAAGGCTGCTCCCCACATGCCTAGGCCAAGCCTTAGGCATGAGTGAAGTCCTACTGAACCCAGGTAATGCCGAACTTTGTGACCTTGGACTCTGGGCTCAACGGGACCAGGACTGGAGATCCTCTGCCTGCTTCCCGCAGTCTCAAGCAACCCAGGGATCACGCCCATTAGCCACCTCCTGCCGGCGCCATCACTGGCCACGCTCCAGATCACATGGCTGCTTCTCCCAAAAGGGAGCATGAAGCCCCCCTAGCCATGCCACCAGACTCCGCGCCAGGCTGTTTCACACGGGGACTCCAGAGGGTGGTGAGAGCCCTCCCTGCCCCAAGGAACCCAGCCCCAGCAGCCAAAAACCGCCACAACCCCACCACCATCATGCTCAAGGCCGTTCCCCACATGCTCGGACCGACTCATCATAAAACACTCCCTACCCATTCTCCATAATTACCACACCACATTTGATGGGGTTCAGAGAGTAGGCGACAAATCATAGAGGGAAGTATATATATGGGGCTGGAGCAATAGCACAGCGGGTAGGGCGTTTGCCTTGCACGCAGTCAACATGGCCAACCCGAGTTCGATTCCTCCGCCCCTCTCGGAGAGCCCGGCAAGCTACCGAGAGTATTCGATATGCCAGACACAGTACCAACAAAGTCTCCAATGGAGACGTTACTGGGCCCGCTCGAGCAAATTGATGAACAACGGGAGGACAGTGACAGTGATACGTATTTTCAGATATATATACCAAAGCTCACACCACCCAAACTTTAACAACATGTTAGTGATATCCTATAAAATGTCTTAATGGCTCCTGCCAAAATAGAACAATCTTCACCCTGTTTCCTATATGAGCACTTTTTTGTAAGCATGTTGAGCAGTTCTTCGTAACAGGCAATACAAAATATACCATTTCGATTGTGTTTTGGGACAGGGATTAGGACTTGGGATGGAAACATCCCAAATTTCGTGGTGGGAAGGCGTAATGGTGGTGGGATTGGTGTTTGAATATTGAATATAATCAAACATTGTGAACTAACTTATAAAATTAAAAAAGAATAATTTTAAAAATTTAAAAAAAATTTAAAAAGTAATGTGTTCATGACCAATTCAATCAACTTAATCAATGGGTGAATAAATAGCAGTGCTACTACATTAAAAAATATATATATATTACATATATATATATAGGTGAAGTAGCACTGTAGCAGTACTGTAGCACTGTCCTCCCATTGTTCATCAATTTGCTCGAGCGGGTACCAGTAAAGTCTCCATTGTGAGACTTGTTGTTACTGTTTTTGGGATATCGAATACACCACGGGAAGCTTGTCAGGCTCTGCCGTGCAGGCACGATATTCTCAGTAGCTTGCCGGGCTCTCCGAGACAGGCGAAGCAGACTTTTAAAATGATATCTGTCCTCAATCAGTTCTAGGCACAGAATTTTTTAAATAATAAGAGAAAATAGGTAAAGGAACAAATAGAATAACCTCTCAGTATCTGTATTAGAAATCATAATGTCCAAAAGGGGGGAGAAAGGAGAGAGACAAACAGACAGACAGCAGACAGACAGAGAGAGAGAAAGAGAGAGAGAGAGAGAGAGAGAGAGAGAGAGAGAGAGAGAGAGAGAGAGAGAGAGAGAGAGAGAGAGAGCCTGCCACAGAGAAGGCTGGGGGAGGTTGGGGTAAGAGACACTGGGAAATGGTGGTGGGAAATGTACACTGGTGGAGGGATGGGTATTGGAACACTGCATGTCTGAAACCTAACCATGAAGAGCTTTGTAACTCTGTATCTTATGGTGATTCTGGGCAACCTACTTTGTATTCTGGAACCTTCTACATTTTTTTTTAACCTCTTCCTCCTCTTCATTCTAACTGAAGTGTAGGCCCTCATGATCTCTCTCCTGGACTTCAGACTAGCTCTGGATTGGTCTCCATTCTTTCTCTCTCTGCCCAAATGGACATTTCCAGAACATAAATCTAATCACATGATTGTTAACGCTTAATGCCAAAGCAACTTTCACTTGTTTTGAATGGAGTGCCAGAATCTTCAAACTCACACCATAATGAATCTTTTATTTTGCTTTATTTTGTCTTGTTTTGGTTTGGGGGCCATACCCAGGGTGCTCAGGGCTACTCCTGGCTCTGTGCTCAGGATCACTCCTGACGGGTCAGGCGGACTATAGGGGTGCGTGGGATCGAATCCGGTCAGCTACAGGCAAGAAAAACCCCTTACCCGCTGCCCTATGGCTCCAGCCCCCGCAATCAATCTTTATAGCTTCATTGTCTATCTTTATTTACAATCATCCCATGCTCCAGGTATATATTTCCTTATGCCTTTGCAGAAGTCTTTCCTTCATAACCTTCTGCCTGGGAAACTCCTACTCATTACTGAAGAAAAAAACAAACTACTTTCTCCTCTGTGAACCCTTTCCCTACATATTCTTCCAAAGTGCAGTTAGTCTCTTCTACATCCCTACAGTCCCCCAATGGAATCTTCAGCACTGTAGCACTGTCCATTGTTCATTGATTTGCTCGAGCGGGCACCAGTAGCGTCTCAATTGTGAGACTTGTTGTTACTGTTTTTGGCATATCAAATATGCCGCAGGTAGCTTGCCAGGCTTTGCTGTATCGGCGGCATACTTTTGGTAGCTTGCCAGGCTCTCCGAGAGGGATGGAGAAATCGAATCCAGGTTGGCCACAAGCAAGGCAAACGCTGTACCGGCTCTGCTATCGCTCCAGCCCAATGGAATCTTAAACACTAAAATTGCTCATATAATTCTTCACCATTAGATTTCAGAAGCCTCAAAAGAGCAACGGTTTTGTCTTATTTATCTTTAAGTACCTAAGACTTTGAATGGTGCCAACCAGTCACAAAACAAATTTATGATACATATTTGTAGGATGCATAAATGGAAGATGAAAGTTGTGTGAAATTTGTCCTTTATTCTAGTGGATCATTAATTATAGACAAACTATAGGACAGAGCAAAAGTAGAGCAGGGAGAGGGCTTGCTTTTCACACAGCCTATCTGGGTTTGATCCCCAACACTACATATGGTTCCCAAGAAGAACCAGAGCGTGTCCCAAAACCAACAACAACAAGGAATTTTATCACCAGAGGATGGACCCTCCATCCCTGCAAAAATATAAAACTACAGATAGAGATTACCTGGCATCACCCAGTATTGAAATCATGCGGTATTGAGGTAACTCGGAAGATGCTACATGTGCCAGGATTCCAAAGAGTCTTTCAGCCATTATCATATCATTCTGTGTCACCTGAAAACATGGAACAGGAGAGTGAAAAATAAATCTCTGAGGTAGATACAACTACTATAAAGCTAAGGAAAGAAACGTCTTTTACCAGCGTGTAGCTTCAGCAATATAAACGATGAAAAGAGATCTATATTAAACATTTTTCTTAAGACCAGCAAAGTCCATTCTCCTAGACTCTAAGGAGAATCCTCATTGATATTTATTTTTCTTACCTGGGCTTATTTAAAATGAAGACATACAAAAATGACTAATTTTGATGGAAGTGGCTTGGAGGTGAAGAATTAGCTCTGATTTAGAACCTGTACTTGAGGCAGCTTACTATTTTTTCTCCCCCAGAAACCCTATACTTCCTAAGAGCAGAATGGCTTATGAAAGAGTGGTTCTCAAGTGCCAGTGAAATAATGTATACAAGGCAATACAAGGCATTATTTGTTCTGTAAGGATGTCTTTGCTCCTTCCTGCGAGAATTATCATTGAATTAGCAATGACCCTCCTATTCATTGCGAAATTATGTCTGCCTTTCTCCCCACAAGGAATAATGTAACAGGTCTTTCCTGCAAGGGCTAATGTCTGTGCTAACCAAGAAAATACTAAAAGCTGAAAGCCAATCTTGGATTACTCTCTGGGCACACTTTCTTTAAAATAACATAGGGTTGCTTTTATCGTAAGTTTTATTAGTTTGTATAATTGAGGGGACCTTTTGGTCTCTAGGTAGTATCTGGCAATTCATAGGACATTCAGATTTCTTTCGGCAGACAGAAGGATGCTCCAGGCATCTGTGGGAGCTCATCGCTCTAAGCCCACGGGCAGTCCACACAACAAGGAACAAGCCAGTCCAAAAGGCCACAGAACTCAGTTTGAGAAAACCTGGGATAGTTAAATTTTGTATCTCTTAAAAATGGATTCCTAATGCTAGCTGAAATAAACTCTAAACATATTTTCTGAAGAAAAAAAAAAGAAACCTGCAGCCAAAACCATCTTGTCTATGTGGATCAATGCAGACTCTTTCCTTTCCCTAGACCACCAGTAGTCAATGCTGCTGCTTCCCTCGGACCCTGGCTGTAGCTGAGAACCAAGTTGTTTGGTCTAATACAGTCACCTAGTGGCCAGCACAGGTCACTGCTCCCTTCTTTTCTTAATGCGAATGAATTCAAGTCAGTCTCAAGTGTTACTCTCCCATACAGAGATGTGGAAATCCAGTACAACACTAAATGCTGTCAAGATTGAGCTAGGAGCTTTACTGTAGGTATTTAGATGAAGAGAAAATATCCCTGGAATCCAAAATTTTGGAATTTTAAAGAGAATTTTATTGCTTCTAATTCTTTTCTTTTTATAATTATACTATTCCTCCCTACTTTTAAAGTCCTATAACAAATACTATAAATCTGGTAGTAACATATTTCTCGTAAATACATTATTTGGGGCTAATTGAAGCAATAATTTAGCTATTAATAAGGAAGCATAACCACCCCCCTACATTCTTATTCCAGTCTAAACTAGCTTTGAAACTTTCAAAACTGATTATTAAGTCTGACCTGTGACTTAGCAGCTCTCTGGGTGAAACAAGAGGATTTATGAGTATACCAAGTGAGTAAAAGCTCGTGAGAACTAGCTGGAGAATTAACAGTCACCTCACATTGTAGGTTTATCCCACATGTACTGCAGTCACTAGACGGGGAACTCAGGGGGCTTTTGTACACTGGCCTTAGAGCCCTCCGGTCACTGGAATTCTGGGCTCTGGGGCAGAAGTTCTTGACTGTTGGCTGAAGGGAAATGCAGCTGCTACAATCACTGTGATAGTAAAGCCGAATATAGTTTGTCTGACAACAAGAAGCTCTTCTTGATTGTAAAATCGTCTATAACAGAAAAAATTTTTTCCCTTAGAGAGATTATTTAAATTCAGTTCGGGAATTCCTTGTAGAAGTAGAAGCATGAAATCACCTTTTTCTCCAAAATCATATTTTTAAAAAATGTGGTCTTTAGGTAATTAGGAGATTATTTTTGTGATAAGCTTAGAAGAATTAATATCAAAAATAACTTTTTACAAATAACTTTCCTGTTATTCAAGCTCCAGGTCTGAATTTCACAAGACAAATATGCTACATGTATCTATTAAGTTGTTTTTTAAAAAATATTTCTGGATATTTAGTTATATTTCCTTTTTATCTCTCATTTTCTTTGATCTTTTCTCCTTGTTTATTTCCTCTCCCTATCCTTTTTTTCCCCTCATCTGCTTGTTTATTTTCTCTTATTTGTAAAGAACCACCCTTTTGGGCAGAGGGAGTACAAAGAGTGAGGCTCACATATGGGCCAGAGGGAGTACAGAGAGTGAGGCTCACACCGCTGCCCCCAGTTTGGTTCCTGGTACCACATCCCAGGCTAGTTGAGCTCTGAAGCAGTCAGGAGCACACTGGGTGGCCAGGTACGACCCAGCCCTACCCTCCAGGCACCTGCAGCTGTGTGCATTCTCTTCCCTGACCATCACCCAGCTGACCTTGGTTACTATTTCCCCATCCCTTCTTGCAAGTCAGGCCATCTACAAAGTACTTTGGAAAATACAAAAAGTGTTTGTTTGCTTGTTTAACTGTCATACTACCAACATTTAATTCCTTAGAATGCTTACAAACTACAGTGAAACAATATACTGCAACACGACCTGATTGCTGTTTTGGATTTTCCCCCAAAAAATTTGTTTAGTGTTTTAGAAGTATCTGAAGAGATTTTGAACTTTTTGAAATTTCAAATGTCAAGAATTTGTTGTTTGCTCTTGGGTTGCGCGAGGTTGTGCAAGACTCCTTTTGGCTCTGAGTTCAGGAATCACTCCTGATACGGCTTGGGGGACTGTAAGTGGTGCCAGGGATGGAACCCAGGTTGGCCGCTTGCAAGGCAAGCTCCCGCTCTAGCCCCAGGTTTCTTCTTAAAACACCATTTCTCAATGGTTTTATCATGGTAAGTTAAATTATCATGCATTTTAATACCAATTTCCCTTAAAAAGAAATATTTGCATTCTATAGTTTACTTGGCGTTTGACTTACCTCTGTTCCATTTATTTTCTGCATATTAAAATGGCTCAGTCTAAATAGGACATAGTATTTCCAGAGTGTAAAATTAACTACTGGATTTCCTTGAGGATCAATTGTGAGTTGGTCAATACGACGAAGCTGTGCTAGTGCATTAAACTGCTGCAGCATGACAAGATTAGTTTCCTTGAATTTAAGGTGCTGCAATAATAAAACACAAGAAAGAGCTAAACACTGAATTTAATTATATTACAATATAATACTAAAAGCATCACTAATCATTTCCTAAGTAAATCAGTAAACCTTAGAGTTTGCAAATGCTTTCAATTATGGTAAATCAACTAAATATATTAAGCTTACATGAATTTAATCCACCCAGTGAGTTAATGGTGAAATTTATCACTCTATTTGATGTTGAATTCAGAGTGATTACCATTAAGAACAACCTTAATAAGGTTCTTTAAAGTTATATAAACATACACAATTCAGACTCAATCATTATAATTGTTATGCTTTATACTGAAATGCACAAAGAGAAAAACTAGAAACAAGACTCTCAAGACTTTTTGAACACTGGCTTCACAAAGTTTCCGAGAAGCATTAGTTGGTCATTCTAACTTCTACCCTGCCAATTACTAAGTGGACTGTTAAACCGACTATGGGAAAATTAAAACACTAAGACAAACAGTGCTCATGCCAGTATTGCCTGAGGATTCAAGTACTCTTTTGTAAACATATTCTTGTCACTTCATTCTATTTTAGGGAGGATGATGAGAAAACATCATTATCATGAATAAAAGAACACTTCATATAAAAGAATAAGTAAAGAAAATCACTTAACAGAAACATGGGGATAACAAAATCCCAATAGAAAGCTTAAGGAATCACCATTTCTGAAAATACACATTAATAAGTACATTATTATCATCATTATTGTAAAATAGCTAAGTTGTCAAAGTAATTTCAAAGAGCTACTAAGCTTATTTTCTATATCAGGGGGTCCAGTAAAATAAATTATATATAAACATAAGTTTTACTAATACCAACTACAATGAATAAATACATAATATAGGGTTATGAAATCTTTTGAAAGCTTCATAAAGTGAAAATACATATATAAGGTTATAATAACATAATACTATAGGGTTAGAGATCCCTTGAAAGCTTCATAAAGTGAAAATATTTAACTTGAGTATAATTATATTAATTTTTTATACTCTAATCATTTTATAGATATAATTTTTAATCACTGTCACTGTCACTGTCCTCCCATTGTTCATCAATTTGCTCGAGCGGATCCAGTAACGTCCCCATTGTGAGACTTGTTGTTACTGTGTTTGGCATATCAAATACATCATGGGTAACTTGCCAGGCTTTGCTGTGTGAATGAGTAACTCTCAGAAGCTTGCCGGGCTCTCCGAGAAGGGAGGAGGAATCGAACCCAGGTCAGCTGGTTGGCCGTATGCAAGGCAAACGCCCTACCTGCTGTGCTATTGCTCCAGCCCATGGAGTCATGCAACATTTAAAAAATTGTTTTAGACTTTTAAATTATCAACAGGCAATATGTTATTTGATAAAATATTTTGTATACTGATTTACTTGGGTCAGGTAAAAAATTCTCAGGCAAAAAAGGGCTGGTAAGTGGGAAAAGTTTAAGGAGTCTTGTTCTAGACTTCAACTAAATTTTAGTTGCCCTCAAATGGAGACCTCTGCTAAAAAAGGGGGGGGGGGTCTGGATTCTTAACTCCACTCCTATCTGTGATTCACTGTCAGTTGACAGCACTGAATGTCCTCCCTTGGACTTCATTCTTCCTGAGTATTTTAACATAAAATACTGCAAGATCACTTAGTGTGTAATTTCATATGAATCTATGAACTTAAATCCCAGATCCAGATAATCAACACAAATTTTCCATCTTTCTGCAAGATAGAAACTGCATAAATAAAAGTTAAAATAGGTCTTGGCCTGAATGTATAAGTCATGACTGGGAATACTACTGAAAGGAAATGTTTACCAGAGAATTAGGAAACTTCATCTTCAATTTGGGAAGCACTTGAACTATTTCATCAAATTCGATGAAAGTAAAGGAGACTGTGGTCACCATCCCTGCTGTCTGAACACTCCAGTTCCGGTCCAGGCACTCCAGGGCCCCTGAGCCATACAGGGAGAGCGTTTCCCCATCCACCTCAACAAGGTGAGTGTCTGTGGCAGATAAGTCTTGTAAAGCACTGCTGAGTCCTGAGTCCAGAGACCTAGAAAACACCAGTGCATGACTTTATTTTTATTTATTTTTATTTTTTAATTTTTATTAGTGAAACACCATGAGGTACAGTTGTAGACTTACAAATTTTTGTGCTTGGGTTTCAGTTATACAATGATCAAATACCCATCCCTCCACCAGTGCCCATTTTCCACCACCACGGGTCCCAGTATCCCTCCCACCCCCCATACCCCCCATCCCACCCTGCCTCTGTGGCAGGGCATTCCCTTTCGTTCTCTCTCTCCTTTTGGGTGTTGTTGTCTGCAAAAAAGGCATTAAGTGGCAATCATGTTCGGTCCATAGTCTACTTTCAGCATGCTTCTCCCATCCTGGGATATAACAATATGAAGCTTTATTGGAAAAGGTATTTGAAATTTTATATTCATATTCTCATTTCAACAAATAAACCCAGAACACCAAAAACTAATTTTATTTTTTGTTTGTTTTTATTGGTTATTTTGGGACTCACACCAGGCAATGCTCAGGGGTTACTCCTGGCTCTGCACTCAGAGGACCCTACGGGATGTCAAGGACCGAACCTGGGTAGGCTGTGTGCAAGGCAAATGCCCTATCAGCTGTACTATCTCTCTGGCCCCACCCACAAAACTAATTTTTCAATAGCAAATCTGGAAGCTTTACATTCTTCTATTTATATATATACATGTATATGAAACTAAAAGAAAAATATAGAAAAATGATATATATGTATGTATGTATAATGCAAATATATAAATAAAATATAAATATATCTACATATATAAAATTAGAAGTTATAGAAAAACAATATACGTATGTACATATGTATATATATATACAAACTATATATATTTATATTACAAAAGTCATATATAAACAAAAAAGCACCTTGATATCTAAATCAGTTATGACAATAAACAATAAGATATAATCTGCTTAGTTTTAAAATAATCTATTTAAAACATATCTTTTCATGTCAATAGCACTGTCCTCCCTTTGTTCATCGATTTGCTCGAGCGGTCCCAGTAACGTCTCCATTGGAGATTTTTTTTGTTACTGTGTTTGGCATATCGAATACATCACGGGTGGCTTGCCAGGCTCTGCCGTGTGGGCGAGATACTCTCGGTCGCTTGCCGGGCTCTCCGAGAGGGGCGGAGGAATCGAACTCGGGTCGGCCATGTTGGCTGCGTGCAAGGCAAACGCCCTACCCGCTGTGCTATTACTCCAGCCCTTCATGTCAATATTAATAGGTTTTCTTAATATATAAATTAACTAAAAGGAAACACATATTTTATCAGATAGCAATTCTCTAGTAAAATCACATAGTATTTTTTTATTTTAAAGCATTTGAGAATACATAATGATCTTTAACAATAGTCTTTCTAGGATCGGAATGATAGTACAGCAGGTAGGGTGCTTGCCCTGCACATGGTCAACCCACGTTCAGTCACAGAATCACATATGGTTTTCTGAACCCTGCAAGGAAGGAGTGATTCCTGAGAGCAGAGTCAGGTCTCAGCTGTGAGAATTGCCAGGTGTGACCCACTCCACCTCCAACAAATATAAATAAATAAAACAAAGCCCAAACAAACACACACAAAAACCCACTCCCTCAAATAATATTTCTCTTAGAAGTTGATAAGGGATAACGCTGACTTTCTTTAGATACTTGACTTATTATAATGAATATTAGTGACTATAACAAAATTCAAGTCCTCGGTAATCATCATAATGGAGAGAAAAGTAAGCAGGTAATGACACAATGTGGTAAGTGCTGTAATAGGCATATGTACTATTTTATTTAAGTCTTTATTTTAATATATCAGTTAAATCTAACTTTTATACTTCTCATATTTCAGAAAATATGAGAATTATATATTCTTTAAAGCTCAATACAAAGCTATATTACACAGTACAGATAATTCTTAATTCTCATCTTATTTTTGTTCTACTGTAAATCTTTACCTTTATAGGATTATTATCTAAGATTATTCCAGTACAATTCCTTGGCACTGGAATATATAACCAACTACCAAACTGTGTGTATAGGGAGAGAAGACCAGAACAGCTAAGACCTAGTAAGGATGGTGGCGAGTCCTGGGCACTTTGGGCGTGGTTTGGTCCAGTAATTTTGTATATCAATACCATAACCCTAAACACTGTTGTGATTATCTAACTGTTTAGGTAATCATGATCTTCAGTGGTTAATTCTAAAACCAAATGTACATTTAGTCAACTCTGTACATAAGAATGAATAAGAAAGAATGAATAAGAAAAATATTCAATGTCTTCTTGAAGACTCTCAGAGAGCGTTTAACTTAATATAAGTTCCTGAAAGCCAGGTTAAAAAGAGCACATACTCTTCAATGACTAGATGAAGAAAAGATTATTTCAAAGGATCATGAATTGTGTGCATATTTAATCTTTAGATTTCCTATAATAGGCTAGAACAGAAAGTCTTACATTATTTTGAAAGATTCTTTCCCCAATGAGTAAGTAGTGCCAATTATTCTAATAACATATTTTATGAGTTTCTATTACAACATTTGTAGGTGTAGAAATTCATTTTATGCATTGTATTTTATTATAGTCATACTGGCTAAAATACCACAGTGTTCATAGACAGGATATGGCCAAAAATAAACCTGCTATACTGAATAAAGCCAAGGAAAGCAAAGCAAAGATTGCACCAAGTACTTTCCCATTTCTGAAAAGGAAAAGAAACTAGCAATATATAATTTTCCTATAGAGATATCCTAAATACAGCAGACAGCAAAATCATTAATGGAATATACCACAAAGTTTTACATGATTTCTTCACTTTATGCGCCTATAATTTTTCACAAATATTTGTTTCCAGGCATTTAGTTATATAGCCATAATTCAAAGGTCACAGACATTCTAACAAAGTAAATTAGCCACTTTTTTGCATTAGGAAAAGGACTACAAATCAACGCATTAAAATAGAAAACCTTATGTAGTGCTAAAAAAACAAAGCAGTATTTAAAATAAAATCTGTACTCTCAGGAAGAGACTTTCATCAACTGACCAGCTTCCAATTTATAGAAAGAGTCAGATTTTTAAAATGTGGAAAGAGAAAATCACATACAAAGGAGCACCCCTCAGATTTACAGCAGACCTATCAGAGGAAACCGTCCAAGCCTGAAGACAAAAAGGATATAGTGAAAAAACTCAATGAAATGAACGCCTCACCAAGAATACTTTATCCAGCTAAACTCTCACTCAAACTTGATGTAATGATACACTATTTTATAGATAAACAACTCAGGAACTTCATAGACTCAAAACCAAACCCCCAAAAAAAGGACTAAACGGGCTCCTGTAATTCCAGAAGGAAAATACCCATAATCACAACAAACCCTTAGAGAAAGATGGCACAAAACCCCATGACAATAATCTCTCTCAGTGTCAATGGTCTAAATGCACAAATCAAGAGACACAGAGTCTCTTGATGGAAAATGGATCCAGAAACTAAAACCAACATTCTGCTGCCTACAAGAAACTCATCTGAACAGTCAGAGCAAACACAGACTCAAAGTTAAAGGATGGAAAACAATCCTGCAAGCAAACAGCTCCCTCAAAAAAGCTGGGGTGGCCATACTCGTATCCGCAATATAGATTTCAGGTTGAAAAATATTAGAATGGACAGAGAAGGGCATTTTATATTTATCAAGGGATATGTACAACAGAAAAAATCACAGTCTTAAATGTATACACACCTAATGAGGGACCAGATAAAAACTTAAAACAACTGCTAACAGATTTTAAGGAGGATATTGCCAGCAATACAATGGTAGTCAGAGACTTCAACATTGCCTTATCACCTCTGGATAGATCAGCAAGGAAATACTGGCTTTGAAGGAATAAATAGAAGAGAGAGGGCTAACAGACCTATACACGGCTTTACACCCCAAAAAGAAAGAATACACATTCTTTTCCAATGCACACAGAATATTCTCTAAAATAGACCACATGTTGGGTCACAAAACATACTTCAATAGAATCAGGAAGATAGAAACTGCATCAACTATCTTTTCAGACCACAATGCACTGAAGATAGAAGCAAATCACACACAGATATGGAGAACCAAATCAAACACCTGGAAATTAAACAACTCAATGTTGAACAATGAGTGGGTCATGAAGGAAGTCAAGGACGAAATCAAAAGATACCTGGAAACAAATGAGAATGAAAACATGAGCTACCAGAACCTATGGGACACAGATAAAGCCAGGATGAAAGGAAAATTTATAGCCTTGCAAGCACTCCTCAGAAAGGAAGAAAGGGCCTACATAGAGAACTTGACTTCACAGCTCAAGATCTTAGAAAAAGACCAACAAAAGGAACCCAAGCCTGGCCAAAGGAAAGAAATAAAACTTAGATCAGAAATTAACGACATAGAAATCCAAAAAACAATCTGAAAGATCATTGAAACCTAGAGCTGGTTCTTTGAGAAAATAAACAAGATTGACAAATCACTAGCAAGACTCACAAAGAAAGAGAAAAAGAAAACCCTAATAAACCGAATCAAAAATAAAAAAGGGGACATCACAACAGAATCCAATGAAATTCAAAAGATCATCAGAGACTACTTTGAGAGTCTGTATTCCACGAAACAAGAGAACCTAGAAGAAATGGATAAATTCATGGATTCCTACAATCTATCAAGACTGAGCCAAGAAAACTTGGGATACCTGAATATACCAATTCATATCAAGGAAATCGAAACTGTAATTAAAAGTCTTCCCAAAAACAAAAGCCCAGGCCCAAATGGATTCACTGGCGAATTCTTCCACACATTTAAAGAAGACCTGTTGCCAGTTCTCCTCAAGCTTTTCCAGGAAATAAAAGAAAACAGGAACTCTCACAAACAGTTTCTATGAGGTACATATCTCCCTTATACCAAAAGCGAACAAGGACACCACTAACAAAGAAAACTACAATATCTCTGATGAACATGAATGTGAAGATCCTCAACAAAATATTAGCAAATA